TGCGGCGATTAATGTGAAAATAATCTACACAACAACACATAGAGAATGTTAAAGTAGCATGGTTTTGATTTATATAAGTTCCTTGTCTCTGTGAACGAATAAGGACTTACTTGCTAGTAAATATGTTGCAGTCATATTGCAACGGTTCATAAGAAATATTGAGCTAGACAATAGAAAATAATGTTCATCTGCCAAACAGTGGGCTGAAATAAATAATAGTGAGCTCGATTCATTTTATTATATCTTAATGTTAGTTGGGCATTTTACGCAAAAATATATTACAGCGCATTTTTTCCATAGGATTTTTAAAGTGAAATGTTAGATGCAATTAGCAGTAGGAATAGCATCAGCCCTCAAGATGGGAGTGTCGTCGACAAAAATTTTAAGCAGCGAAGAAATTATTGATGAGATGAAAAGTCAGTAGAAAGTTGTTTATGTGTTGTTGTTTTGTTGGCGTTGTTGTTGTTATTAGGCCACTATAAAAATATAAACAACAGTAAGAGATTTTATGGTATATAATTTTGGTACAATTTAATAAAAAGAGAGGCTTCAGTGACAGGTTATTTTAAAAACATTTTAATTTTTTGAACGATTGTACTTAAAATGTTCAGAGTTTTCTTTCGGTTAGTTAAAATTGAAGGTGCCTTCTTATAAAATTGTTCGCTTTTGTTCACTTTGATAAATTTCAATTCTAGTTTTGAGCAATGAATAATGAGTTGTATTTGTTGGCAACCTAAAGGGTCACCGAACAGTTTTTACTTGGAGGGCACGACAGAACGCCGCGCGAAGGGGAAAGATAATTTGAATGTCAAGAAAGGAGAGATCTTCGAACTTATGAACCAGTAAGTTTGAAAGTTTTTATGTAGCCACTAACGTGAATTAATTTAGTTCTTATGAAATTATTTGTAATGATTAAGTTTTCTGAAACATTTTCCAGCGTGCCAAACGAAAATGTCATCAAAGTCCGTAAAATATCGACATCTCCTAAACAGATCGGTTTTGTTAGCAAGGACTCCGTGAAGCCTTACAGCATGAAAATAAAAGTGACTGAAAATGAAATTGAATCTTATTTACAGAATGAAGGTATCATTTTGAAGTTTGTTCTATTTCATTAACTACTGAGTCTGTTTAACAATCTGATCGTTGGTTTGAAATACAATAACACTTTTTCATGATAAATAACTTTTTGTCTTATTTTTTAATTATTATAATTATAAAATGAATTCCATTAAAACTATTTTGACGAATATTTGCTCAACTTCATCATCTGCATTTTACAGATCTTCTATTCGGAAAATGTAAGCAGGCCGATCCAAGTCGTCTCCTCGCTGAGAAAGATTTCCTTCAAATTGTCGAGTTGGTCGAAGATGGCAATTCTATTTTTTAATCATATTTCATTAAAATATGTGCTCGGTTGTCGTGATTGAATGTTAACTTGCATTGCACTAAACGCACGCGCACACACTGATACGATGGAGGAAGTCAGTCGTGTATGCTACTCGCATTCTATTCATTCAATTCCTTCTATTCATTCTAACTACTTCTGCCTACCTTAGTCTTTCTATCAAGCATGTAGGTATGTATTTTCATTGATATACTTAATAAGCTAAGAAAATTATTTTTAAATGTGGTAATATGTAATTTAAAAACTTTGAAAAGAACAAATGATGAATCTTTTGCGGTGGTTAACATGTGTGTCATTCCGCGGTTTCGAATCAACGTACCAAAGAAGCACGTGGCAGTCCTCAACCGATGCTCACTCATGCCAAAGTTTATAATTTTCATCGTGTTTCATTCTTTGAAAATATTCAATCAAATAATGATTACATTTTTTAAAACTTATGTGTTCTTTTTAATGTTGAGGTAATATTAAGAAATAATTAAATTATTTGCCGGATTGATTCATCAGCAATAAAATAATTTAAGTTAATGATAAAATAAATATTCATTATTATCTGCCATGGTTATAAGTAAATTAAAATGTTGTTTGCTGCATTTACTAACAGAGGAGTCGGAATGTCAATGAGGGAGATGAAGCAGAAACTGAACGAAGGTGAGGCTCTGCTGCTGATGTTGCTGCTACTGATGTTGCTGCTGCTGATGTTGCTGCAGCTAATGTTGCTGCTGCTGATGTTACTGATGTTGCTGCTGCTGATGTTGATGCTGCTGATGTTGATGCTGCTGTTTGCCAAAATTATTAAGAGGGGGTGAAAATATATCGCTAGCAACTCTTACAAAACAAAATTTGGAATTTCTTGTGGTTGATACTAATTGAAAGTTGCCAATATCATAATCTGGTCTACTGCCTAACAGCTATTGCAACATCAATTTCTACTTTTCTCTGGTTGATTTCAAAGCAAAAGTTATAATTGTAGATGCAAGCAAAAAGTGCTGCCTTTCCTAAATCGGCGCTTATGACTCGTAATATATCAATATTGTGATCTAAATAAATTTTATGAAATATTCCCAAACGAGCAGCTCACGAGCAAAACATAAGATACGCCAAAGCCATCTACGACTACACAGCAGCCAACGACACCGACCGCAGCGACATCAGCGACCTCTCGTTCACAAAAAATGATTTCTTTCAAATCTTAAATTCGTTAGTTCAACTTATTTTTTGTTATGTTTTTTGCCATAAAAGCATTCACATTGTGCATTTGGCGAAGTGGAATAGTGGAATTGCTTATTACGCCAATTTTTGGTCCGTTTTTGACATAAAACAATGCTTTTGTTAAAACAATGAGTTATACTGACTTTAAAAAAAAATACCGCTCACACAGGGGCCACTGTTTTTCCGGCCTTTCTATATGCGCCTCTGTATATATATATATATATATATATATATATATATATATATATATATATATATATATATATATATAAGTTTAGCAGCTCTATTCTGAATATATATATATATATATATATATTCAGAATAGAGCTGCTAAACTTGTTTCTGAACGTTCTAGGTCTGATCATGTCAGCATAATTTTGTGAGACTTACACTGGCTGCCTGTTAAAAAACGTATTACTTTTAAAATTGCAATGCTTATGTTCAAATGCTTGAATGGCATTGCACCTGGCTATCTAATTGATAGATGCACTGCACGTCTTGTTCCAGGGCATTCCTACAAACTACGTTCTAATGATCTTGACTTACTTTTTGTGGCCCCAACAAATCTTGTTACAGGTTCAAGAAATTTTTCAGTTGTTGGGCCATCTGTATGGAATAGCCTGCCTTTGGAACTGCGTGCTTCGGGGCATTCAATTTTATCTTTTAGGAGGGAACTAAAAACGTTTCTGTTTGCGCAATGAGTGCTTTGGTTGTTGTTTCCTTGCGATCTGTTTCAGCGCCTTTGAGATTTCATGAGAGGGTTCTATATAAATCTACCTAATAATAATAATGTATGTATATATATATATAAATATACATACATATATGGTTTGAATGATTATTGTATTATTGAAACAACCCAGCGACGGTCCGTGGTGGCTGGTGATCAACCTGACGAGGGATCCGCCGGAAAGAGGTTACGTGCCGTACAACCACGTCAGGGCGGTTTCAGACGCCGTTCAAGTGCAAAAGTTTGTAATTCTTCTGTTTAAGTGTTATACTATCACACAGTTTTTTAATATTTCAGTGCATTAAAAGCATGTCGCCGCTTAGTTCTCTTTTACTTACATTGATAGTGAAACAGGAAAATTTTTTTAACTCACGTACATTATCATTATTTATTATTATTATTATAATTAATTCAATGTTACTATCCAATAAACTAAGTGTTGTTTATTATTGCAACTGCATGTAAACAGCTGGTTTCACGGCAACATAACACGTCCAGAGACAGAGAAACAGCTGATGCTGCCGGGAACGATGGATGGAATGTTCGCAGTCAGGACGTCTGAGTCAGAACCAGGTTTGAAATGCTTCATTCATGCTTGTTGTGCGTGTTGAGCTGCCTGGCGATATGTAAAAAGACTCGTTGCATTGTTTGAATATATTTGTGGCTATGTAGCAATCTTGATATTCTCATTATTGATGCAAAACTTTGTATCAAATTTTTCTAACGTCTTAAGAGTGATAATATTGGATTTTTAATATAAGGTACATCGTCATGTTTGACTTAGAATGATAAAGCATTTGAATAATTCGATGATACTGCTCAAGATCATGCTGAACATTTTAACTATTTCATTCAAAGCATTCAAAAGCTTGTATGTGCGTGCAAACTGCAAACAAATCACAAAATGAAAGCAGGTTGAACAATGCAAACAAACTGACACATACAAAATGATTTACTGACGTTAAACGTTACATTACTTCTGTTGCCAACATACTCAAGTCTGAAACTTGATTTTGAGTATTTTTTATCTGTATACAGGAATCTTATTTATAAAAACAAAAGTTCTGCTCTTTCAAGACTGCAATTTTGGAAATAGAATGTCAAAATGTATGTCCAATAAAAAGAAAGGCGCAAAAAGTTTTCATTTGTAGCATAACTTTTGTATAAAATTCAAAATAAAGAGTAATTGAACATTTAACCTGTTTAACCTGTTCAGTTTATTACAAATTAGTGCTGTAACTTTGACGTTTGTGCTTTTATTTTTAAAAAATTGTAAAACAAACGATTGAATTTTTGTGAATGTTCCCTGTTTGTGTAGAATCAGTGAACCTTGGTAATCTCGTTTTATGTATTGGAACTAATGGCTTAATATCCAACAATGTTTGTCAAGACGTCTAAAAGATTTAAATATAATTTGGAATGGTTTTCTGAGCAAGATTATTTTACATAGTTTTCAACTTCAAAATATATGAAATCAAATATTGAAATTTAGCGATAACTTTCTGGGAGGTGACTGATTTTTTTAAATTGGAAAATTTGCTTTTTCATCCAAAGGAGCAATCGCACTATCTGTCCTCATTGTAACGCAAAACAAGAAGGAGGTGAGGCACTACAGAATAAAGAGAATGGACTCGGGCGAGTACTACATCGACCCGAAGAAGACGTTCTTCAGTCTCGAAGACCTCATCACGCATTTTCAACGTAAGTTTTTAACAGTGAATTTTTTAAATTACTATTTTATATCGCGCGTTAAGTTATTTGAAAAAATGGTTTTAATATTTGTAAAAATTATCGAAAGTTAATTAAATTGAAAATAAAAATTTTTTTTTTAAATCATAAAATATATTATTTCATAAAAGCTTATTCGACTGGCTTATAGAGTTATTGTCATTATAGTAACAATGAATAAATTGACAATTTGACGGACTAGCGCTAAATAAGGGACATTCATGTAACACCATTCAACGCAGAATCGGCTGATGGAATGTGCTGCAAACTGACCTTACCCATGCCGTACGCGGCTCCAGCCTGGCCATCACCTCCAACACAAGGTGATGGATACGAAATCGCAAGAAATAGGCTCTGTTTTGAAACGAGACTTGGACAGGGTCAATTCGGAGAAGTTTGGAAAGGTTTCGCATTTTCGGTGTTGCAACAAGTGCAAAAATTCACAGAACACTGAGATCTATGATTTTGGTTTAACTTATAACATGTGAATGTTAAAAAACTTATTTTCCATACATTTCAGTACAATATTTTGGCTTCAACATAAAAACAATGCTATTTTTAGGAAAATGGTTTAATAAACCAGTAGCAATAAAGGCAATGAAGTTTGGCAGTATGCAGCCTGAAAAGTTCCTCGAAGAAGCTAAGGTGATGAAGCAGTTGAAGCACAGCAAACTTGTGGCTCTCCTTGGAGTCTGCTCCGACCAGCAGCCGTTCTACATCGTCACCGAGCTGGTCAGCAAGGGCAGTTTGCTTCAATTTTTGAGAACTGATGAAGGAAAGAGTTTAATAATTTTAGAACTAATCAACATATCATCACAGGTCTGTTTTCAAATTTTTTTGTAGGGACAATTTTTGCATGAAAAATAAATTAGTTTTAAATGTAAAAAAAAACTAATGCTTGGTATCATTCAATTCTAGACTTACAAACTTGTAAAAAAAACAGTCATTATTTGTTGATGTTTTGCTTTTTAATTTACCAACTTCTGAATAATAAGATATAAATGTATATAAATGATATTAAAATAAATTTGAGTCCAGGTGGCAGAGGGCATGTTGTACCTGGAGATGAAGAAGTACGTACACAGAGATCTGGCTGCCCGCAACGTGCTCGTCGGCTCTGACAACGCTGTTAAAATTGCTGACTTTGGTCTGACGGCAAAAATTATGGACCTGGACAGGGGTGATCTGATGAAAAGTAACTACATTCATCATGTTGTGCTTTCAAATATGAACTTCCTTGTATACATTTTGTCGCATTATTTTATGAAATGATTAAATTTTTGGTAGACAGTATAAATTTATTATATTTTGAATAACTTCGAATTATATGATTTGAAACTAAACAATATTCTCACAAAACAAAACGCAACGCCTCGACCCCTGCAGACGATTTGGTGCCAATAAAATGGACGGCACTGGAAGCTCTCTACCGAAAGCAGTTCTCCACAAAATCTGACGTCTGGGCATTTGGAATTCTGCTCGTTGAAATTACAACGTACGGACAAACTCCTTACAAAGGTCTGTTGAAAATATTCAGTTAAGTTGATGTCCAACAAAACTGACGTTTATTTAAATTATTGTTCAACTGTAAAGTTGAACGGTGAAAAACTCAATGAAAGAATCAGTGCACCTCAAATGAGCGTTAATAATATTTCATCACTGGTTTATTAATATACATGTTTCAAAAGTGTTTGAGGACCGTAAATCAATAATGATGAACGCGATACGAACGACTCAAGTAAACAATTTTTTAAAACTAATATTATATGGTTGGTCGCATGTTTTTAGAACTAAGTAACTGAAAAAATAAAATCAACTAAATTTGAAAAAACTATTCAACGAAACGACAACTTCCTCTGTAGACATGAACTCGAAAGAAACGTTGGCATTCCTGGAATCAGGTAAGAGACATCCAAAGCCAGCCCACTGTCCTGAAGAACTGTACGAAGAAATGATGAAATGTTGGAATAAAAACCCTGATGACAGACCGACATTTGAACATCTCAACGATTTTCTAAACGGCTATTATATAAATATAGAAAAACAGTACAGTCTGCTGAGATAGTTTTCAATTATTTTTGTAAATTCTATTATGTACATAAAAATAAATAAAAAAAACAAATTTGAAATTGTTTTTAAATGATAGAAAAATCAAAAAACACAAACTTTTAAGCTGGTCGATAAAATATTACAAAAATAAATCCATCCGCTATTTAAATTTTTGTTAGATTAGTTTGCTTTTTTTATATCATAATATATAATTTAATATTTCATTACCAGGAATGTTTTATTGCTTAAAAATTCATACAGACAAATTGTTATTATTAATTTTAACCTATGAAATTTTTCTTTTCGGTCCACCACATACGAAGTACCCCAAGTAACCAATCGTGAATTATTTTTTAACTGATTGTTAGTAATTTTTGAGTATTTCAAGTAAAGTGTTGTTAGAATAACCTGATAACACTCCGGCTGCGATCATACAAAATTTTAACTCAATTCATTTTTTTAATTCTACTACCTTATTCAATGATTTTAAATATTGAGTCAGAAAACACACACAACACACCCACGCATAATTTTTATTTGCCAAATATATTTTTATTAATGCTTATTACTCTTATTTATTGGTGTTAACTTTAATTTCTTTTATTATCTATGTTCTCATAAATATGACGTATTTCCAATGTTGCTGTTATTTTTTACTAGCTTATCGTTTCAATTCGATTAAATTTCATCTACAAGAAGACGCTGGACGGTATATCAAAAAATTAAAAATATAGATAAATAAAGTATGGAAAAGTAAATGTTGTTTCTCATAAACGTATAGTATGTAACAACCTTTTAAGCAATAAAGAAGTTTTTCCCAAACAAATTCTATCTAACGAAATTTCTATAAAGAGTATAAAGCGAATTTTTTCCAGAAACGATCAAGTTCGTTGTTTTTAAAAAATGACAAATCTGGAGGGGAGAGTGACAAACAGCTTTTTCATAAGCCTGTCATCATTCATTCGACAAATGTGTCAAAAAACTACTTTTTCTTTTTAATAATCTCGTTGTTACTTTAAGTATTTTTGCTGATTACCGTCTATTTCACAGTTTTTATTGTTTTAAACATCATTGTGGGTTTTTCCACTTCACATTTTAATATTCCATTTTTGCAATTTTCTTCTTTATTTCTTGATATTCCTTTGTCATATGTGTTCTCGTTTGTGTACAGCTTTTCTATATAATCTGCCCATCTTTCACTAATCTGTCTGTCTTCTAGAAGCAGTATGAGTTCGTATCTTTCACTGATCTTGTCGTTGTCGTCAATTCTCTCTAAGTTGTTTTATCAGTTTTTAAGCCTCTGACTTTTCCTCAACTAAAGTTGTTATCTATTTCTTCGCATCTCTTTTCAATCCAAATATTTTTGTCTGTTTTTGCATATTTCTTGATTGCTTGCTTCAGATCTTTCTATTCTCGTGAGATTTTATTTTGATCTTTTTTCTTTAACCAACCAGAGAGACGTTTTATTACTTATCCGTAAACTCCTTGCGGGACCATTTTTCTTAAAAATTTTGCTATCTCGGCCAATTGACTGGTTATTTCTTTGCATTTTTTTTATTCAGTTCTATGTCTTTAAAACATTCCAATTTCTCTTCTTTTAAAAACTTCATTTCTATAACTTTTCCGAATGCACGATTATTTTCAGTGTCGTATTTAATTTGTCAAGTCTTTTTTATTATCTTCACTCATGTGAGAATAATTTGAAAATTAAAAAAATAATAGTAATCAATATTTGCTCCTGGATAGTTCCTACATCATATCACTGCTGATTTCAACTTTTGCCCTATTATTTAAAAAAGTCTATCTTGTTGCGGTTGCGTTTTCTGTTTAAGAACACCGAACCAAGAAGAGCAGTAAGCGGGAGAAGAAAAGAATAGTATTCGTTTGAATAGGCTGGATACGTGCTTTGTCCCTACCGGGGGCTCATCAGCAGCCCGAATACCTATCAGAATAGTTATCGCAGTTTCTTATAAAGCCTGCACAAATCACTTTGTTAGCTCGTGGTGTTTTATTTATTATTGAAGATTTTTAGTCTTTTAGTGGTTAGGATTTCAATCCGACAATCTTATTTTCATTTCATGTCCATTTCTTTTTTAGTCTTTTTTCAAACAAAGTGTTAGTGATAAAAAGTTCCCTCCTTAAGGTAAATTCTAGTAATATCTCTCTATCATTTCAGTTTCCTATTTTTTTATTTTTTCACCCAATCATCGTAACTTTCTCTCTCTCTCTCTCTCTCTCTCTCTCTCTCTCTCTCTCTCTCTCTCTCTCTGCCCCTATTTTAGCATTCAAATCTCCTACCAAGAACCTATCATTGCATTTAGAAATTTCGTTTATCACTTTTCTGAATCTTCGTAAAATGCTTCCATTTCTTCTTTATTGGCAAGTTGACTACAATCACTGTGCAGATATTTATACAACGGTAAAAATTTAGATATTTTAAATAAACCTAAGCGTATAGGGTAACAAATTATTCTCGCATTCACTTTCTTTGATTCCAATTATATACTCTCGTGTGTTTAATTAAAACAAATTTCAAAAGCAAATGTCAGCTTTTGCTGGTTCTTTTTTTGAGCCTCTACCATTATTGCTTTTTAGTAACTCAAAAAGCTCTGCTCGGATCTAAAGACATTATTTGTTTGCAAAATTTACTGTGGATACAGTAAAAATAGCGCTAGATGATTTAAACTTACTCAATAGCTTTCCATGTTGGTTAACTCCATTTTTAAATTTTGTAGTTAAACGAAAAAGTACCTCCGCTCCGTCCGGCCATTCTGTTTCTTGCCGCTGATTTCTGCTGGGGTTTGTTTTTGTTTTCATAGTTTAATTATTTATTTTAACAACAACATGCTTTTCACTAAATTTCGAGGGAAGTACATTTTATGATTAATTTGAATATTAAATATTCAAATCAAATAAGTTATATTTTTAATTTTTTATGATTGATTTTCTTCATTTTATTAAAATAAAACCCAATTTAATTTCAATTATTCTTTTTAATTATGAAATCGTTCAATGAACGACGCCATTCAAGGGGAAAAATGAAATCGGAGATGAGATATGAGAGAAGAGGTTGTTAATTAATAATTAGTAAAGAGGTTTAACTTTAAAAGTGGTTTTTGTTATTAAGATTAATAAAATTATTAATTAATAGGGCCTTGCTTAACGCCGTTAACGGTTAAGCAAGGCCCTAACGGTTAAGGCCTTGCTTAACCGTTATGGCCTTGCTTAACCGTTAAGGCTTAGGTTGAGGCTTAACCTTAACCTAAGCCTTAACCTAAGGTGCTTAAGCTTTTTAAGATTTTTGTTAAACTTCTTAAGGGTTACCAAATCAGTCACGCTTAGGAGAGAACATATTTGTATATGTTTTGACATGGAAATACTTGGAATTTTAAGATAATGAAAACAAAAGAGTGAAAAAAGATTTATTTAAACCAAAAGAAAGATCAATTAAAAATTCGGCATTATACTATATTATTATATATATATATACATTATATAGTTTCAGGGTTGCCAAATTGAAAAAAAAGCCAAATAAAATTTTAGAAGACCCAAAAGACCATTTAATTTTGACTTTTTTTTATAAAAAAAATTAACAAAAACAAATGTCTACCATAAAAAAACTAACTTCAATAATAAAAAATGATTAAATTTTATTTTAAAATAACAATCGAATCAAATGTTTATGAAATCAAAGGCTTCATCAGCAGTTGAAGAATCTAGTGAGCTCATAAAATTGGAATCTGTGGTATTGGTTTGAAAGTTGAATTTACGCTAATTCAAACCCAGCAAGGTGAGGTCGGACCCCAAAACCCCCCCCTGGCTAGCTACGTCCCTGATGGTCATTGAAACAATAATGATTTCATTGCAGTTAAATGACAGTGAAATTAAGATAATAATTTTTTTATTTTAATCAGTTATAAAGTTAAAAATTTGTTTAAAATATATTCAGTATACTTTTTAAAATATAATTTTTGCAGTCGTTGAAACATAATAATGTTTTAATTGCAGATAAGCGACGGTGAAATAAGATAAATAATATCTTTAGTGTCATGTGAGGCCTTAAATACCTTTATAAATGTTTTTGGTCAACATATTTGCTAACAAGTTTCAAGCATGTAAGTTGTGTACTACCTCAATTTATTGCGTTGGCAACAACTCTGATAATATGAATACAACAAAGTTTGTTCATTGTAATGTTGTTTGACACATCTCTATTGAGATTGCAATCATAAAATAGGTTTTAAGCTGTAATACTCCATGTAAAGTCTGCAGTGACATTAGAAAACAAAACTATGTTTTAAAGGGAGTTTAAACTATGTTGCAACGGTTTGTTGAACAACTGGAGAGTACCAGAATATCCAATCGGCTCCACCACGAGAAGGCTGTTGCTCCAGAGCGTTTAAAAAATGCTGCTTTACGGGTAATCACCGGATGCCACGGAATAGCATCGGAACAACATCTCCACTCTGAATGCCTGATGCTATCAGTAAAGCAGCATACTGACCTACTATCATCTCAATTTCTTTTACAATGCCATAATACCAGTCACCCTTGCCACCACATCACAAGAGAACCATGACCCAACAGAAATATAAAACACACATTATTCAGCAAATATGTACAGACAGTGCAGACCGTTCTGCCCACAGTTACCGACAGCAGAGCGTTAAAGGCAGCTTCATCGGCCTTGCATTGCAGTGCTGCGAAACTCGCCTCGGAGACATCACGCCGCTGTGCTGCTCAACGGATGGCCACCTCCAACACCCAAAATAGACAAGGCAGAGGAGAGTTTGCCCAGAGCGTTGAGAAGAAAACTGGCCCAGCTCTGCTCTGGTCACTGCATCTCCCTCAACAGCTACAGATCGAAAATAGACAGTAGGGTCAGCAACATCTGTCCAATATGCCAATTACTTCCTGATGATGTTCCCCATCTGTTTAGCTGCCCAAAGAACCCAACTCATTTCACGATAATAGATCTCTGGCGTAACCCGGTCGCCGTGGCTAACTGGCTACGGCCTCGTCTGGATCCCTCCAATGATGTCTGACGCAAGGCAACAACTATGTTTTAAATGTTTAACAACTTTAAGACTTTTGATGGTTCTGGCATTATTACTTTCAGAACATTTTAAATCATGATGTAGAATGCTCAGTCTGGTAGTAATAAATATTAAATAACGAGCAATAATTGCAAATGATCTTATCAGACATAGTTAACAAAATGTTATCAATTACAAAACGTCTAAGTTTTATTTTAGTTGCTTTTTTGAAGTCATTTGAATTAATTTATTAGCCCCATTCATTAAAAATTATTTGTTTAGCTAAACTGATCATTTATAACAATTTATTTTTATTGACATTTTTACATACAGATTTGCATTGATCATCTTTATTTCCTTGTGGCTTTGAAGATTGACAAACAATCATTATGGATGATTTCACGAATTCGTTTTTGCAGAAATTGATGCCAAAAAAATATTTAAAAGAAATTAATGAAGATGATATTCAACAAAAGTACAGGAAGATTAATTTATTCAACACTATAAAAACTTCAAAAGTAATTTGCAGCCAAAAACGTCGTGGTTTGCCAACCAAACAAAAAAAAAAGTTGAAGCTCTTGAGTTTAGATGAGAACGAAAAAATATACAACCTATACATACCACTACACGAGTTGTGGCTAGACTATATGAACACTTTGCTAGATGGTTGCACATCTGATAAAAAAGAGATGGGAAGAAGAATTTTGAAGGCTGATCTTCATGGCTGTGAGATTGAAGTATGCAAATCTAAATGCCCTTCTCTGGTTGGCCTAAAAGGTATCATATTGATTGAAACTAAAAATACAATGAACATCATAACCAGATCAAACGAGGTTAAAAAAATTCCAAAACATAATTGTTTATTTTCCATAAAAGTGCTGGGATTCAAAATAACAATCTTTGGCAATAATTTGCAATTCAAAGCCAGTGAAAGATCTACGAAAAGTTTTAAAAATAAGCCAGCCATTGAATTTTGAAATTTTTTTATGTAGCGATTTCAACTGTTGAAAACCTAATTTTCCTGACCTTAAACTTGGAAGTTTAGATTTAAAGAGAAAATGGTCGTGCGAGTATTACGAATTTCAGTGAAAAGATATTCTGCTGCTAACAAAAATTGCATCTCTAAATAAAATAACTTGAACACTTCCATTTTATAAGTTCATGTGTTGTACAACAATTAATTATATCAACTTTGATTTAGGTTTTCGTTTCTCAACTGTGGTGATATTATTTTCTTTTTTGTAATTTTCTAATTAAAAGGCAATCTCTGTTTCTAGTTTTATGCAGATGACAATTTCATCATTAGTTTATATTGTACACAATATAATATTAATTATATATGGTTAAAAGTTTTTCCTGTCAATAAATTGCTTAACATAATTTTAATTTCATATAGTTTTTCTAATCTTTGTGTGTCTGTCTTTAACGGGATTGCGTTATTTTTTTTACCTCCGGGTTTCACTTAATTTTCATTTTTGTTTAATTTGATGGATTTAAAGGAAATAAAATTTTATTATTTCAACTATTGTAAAATAATAAAAAGATGGAAATCATTTTTTGAGTTTTACTATTCAAATTTTAATTTTCAGTACAGGGGTAATTTCTAACTTTGCCTATTTAATGCCTATTTAAACGGTTTTTTCGTCAAGCATACATTTTAAGAGATATAGCTATATTTGTGCCAAATCATTTTTTTTTTGTCAAGCATACATTTTGAGATGTATCTGTTTTTGCTAAATCGTTGTTTAATGTTTGATTCGTCCTTGATACGAAATACAATGAACAAATCTAGCTACATAATTCTTAGGTGTATCGCTTGGATAAAAGGCCGCCCTTGGCGTTTTGCGTGCGGCCTGCATTTGATTGATGACTTGCTCACCCAGCTGATAACTTCGGTAATAAGTCAACCTAATTGCCCGTCTAAATGTTTCATATTTGATTAGCTTCACTTGTGGTCCAGGACAATCTTCCAATTTTTCTTCCCTCAGGGTGGCCCTACAGGTATCGAGCATGGTCTTTTCAGGCCATGGTTTTATATTACTTTATCGAAAACTCGTCCTCCTGTCAAGAACTTATAGCATTTTTTTGGGTGGATTAAAACCATTGAAGTCCGTCGGCTAAAACGAATCACCTTTCTTGATTACACAACGAATAGAAGAATGGTTGATATTGTAATAGTTGCTGCTGTTTATGTGATCTTGTCACGAATTGTAATATCCTAGTAACTGTCAAAAATGAAAGGCAATTTTCGAGAGTTTGAGCAGAAGTATAAAAACTGGTGCAGGAAAAATTACAAAGCGGCTGTTACTTAACTCAGAGCATGGCGGCCTTTTTATATTATAATCTTATTTTGTATTTTTCCAGCTTGGCTGTTTTTTGAATAAAGAAGTTTTTGGATTTGAAAATTTAGGACAGTTTATGACAGGAGGTTGCAGGTTGGGAAGTACAAATAACGTAAAAAGTGCGGCATCCTTTCTGGGCAGCTCCTTGGTTCATAGATTTAAAATTTTCTGCGTTTATATTCAAACGCTCCGTATTTCTGAAACTCAATATTGCTGTGGTCGATTGTCTATGCAAACAAACAAGCGATAAAAAGTTTAGAGTATTTTTAATTTGACGATAAATATTAAAACCGTTACGGTACGTTCCGACCGTTCATTGCTTACAAGTTATTTTAATTTGTTTGATAATTGATTTATTTAATTTAACTAATTAAATGGTTTTCAAAATTTTCGTGCCATATTTCTGAATGCCTAACAAACGCTGAAACCTTGGGACTCTGCAGCGGCCGTTTCAAAACGTAAATTATAAAATTTGGAAATAATTACGGATATCAATATAATAATAATAAAATATAATTTATATTTAATATTATTATTATATAATCATTAATGTAAAATATACAAAATTTCAAATTATATTAGATAAAAATTTTATAAAATTAAAATTAAGTGCCTTGCGAGAAAAATGTCTGTGTGAGGGCAAACAAAATCATTTTGTCAAAATGTCTTCAATTAATATTAATATTATAAATTAATTATTAAATTTAAAAAACCAAGAAAAAAATTGTATTTAAAAAAATTTCTTTCTAGAAATTCATAACTAATTAGTTTTTCAGCATCATTTTTGTGACCAGGGGATACGATGGCGCTAGATGGCCAGTTTAATTTAAAAGCAAAAATAAGAGAGCTACTTGATATTTTGGTTGTCAGACTCAACGAGACACTAGTTGGAGGGAAGCAAGGCATACACGTGTGTGCCTTGCTTCTTATTTCATAAGTGCACTTGTTCACTTGATAAGTGCACAAGAGGATGTCGCAAAAGTGCAACATCTACTTTTGCCTAGTGGATGTCGCACTTTTAATATTATTTTTTAAAATTTTGCTTCTCCCCATCAAGTTGGAAAGAAGCAAAAATAAATAAACAATAATTACGATGCAAAAGTTGAAAAATTTTTCTGGGTATTGGAACTTGGTGTTGGTACTTGGATATTTTTCATCCGACTCTGACACTGGTTTTCAGAGCATGCAGACATAAGTTTCTTTGTTACGAATGCATTTTTTTAATTTATAACATATATATAACATTTATATTTTTTCATTTTCTTACCATCTAGTATCGTACCTAACGACAAGAACAAAAAACTGTTATGCAAGCATAAGTGCTGTAAAATTAGTGCTTCATTAGTTGTATAAAAATAGTTATTGAATAAAACATTCGTCATGGATTACTCTTCAAAACCTACTTGTCAATTCAAAATTCCTGTTTTCCATCCAACCATGAGTGAGTTTAGGAACTTTCCAAAGTATATTGATTACATCGAATCACAAGGGGCCCACATGGCTGGTCTGGCCAAGGTATGTTTCTGATGGTTTATCTGGATTTTTTGTCATTAACAATTATTTATGATTAAATTAATGTTAATCTTCCATGTTTTAGATCATTCCACCAAAAGGATGGGTCCCTCGGCGAGGGGGCTATGAGGACATCAACATCACCATCTCCTCCCCCATACAGCAGGTTGTTACTGGCAACAAAGGTCTCTTTCAGCAATTCAACATCCAGACCAAACCAATGACAGTCAAGGAGTTTGCCAAATTAGCTAAAAGTTCAAAGTCTGTAATTTGTATTGGCTCGCATGCCCCTGATATATCAGTTTCGTTTTAGTTATTTTAAATTTTATCAAATGCAAAGTTATAGATCGATATGGAATTTATAACTTATGCTGCAGTTAAAGGATGACATTTTTATTAAATAATCAGACATTCCTTGTGATGAAATTTTGTCTGAATTCAAACCTAAAGAAAATTAACATGTTCTGTATAGCGATAAATAAACATCAGTAGTTCTAGTTGAACTGATAATAAAATGCATAAAGCTAAAATAACACAGGTAAGTGTTTCTTCACGAAGTTAGCCCCACTAAGATAGCCACAAAAGTTAATATTGTTTTTTTGATTATATAATCAAGAGTAATAAATCTAGCAACAACTACAACGTAGATACAGTCCTCCAAAAGGAGATGTTGAAGAACTGGAGAGGAAGTTTTGGAAGAACCTAACCTTCAATGCCCCGATCTACGGAGCAGATTTATCAGGATCAATATACGACGAGGACCAGCCACTGTGGAACATCAATAACTTGGGCACCATACTCGATCTCGTCGGCAGCAAGTACAACACAAAGATCGAAGGAGTCAACACTGCCTACCTCTACTTCGGCATGTGGAAGACCTCGTTTTGCTGGCACACAGAGGATATGGACCTGTACAGCATCAACTACTTGCATTATGGGGAGCCAAAGTTTTGGTACACCATTCCTCCACAAGATGGAAGGAGATTCGAGAGACTGGCTGAAGGTTTTTGGTCGATGGACACTTAGCCTTAATTTTTAGTTAATTATTGTTAAGTTTGTTGTTCTTGGCAATAACCATCTTTCTTTTGTAGCTGTTTGTTATTGCTTTTTCTTACCATTTTGTTGCCAAAATTACTTTTCAATTGCATTCTTCGAAGGATTTTTCCCAAACGAGTTGAAGAAATGTCCTGCCTTCCTACGCCATAAGATGACCCAAATCTCACCACATGTTCTCAGGAGATACAGCATTCCATACGATACGGTCTGTCACTGTTGTGTTGAGTCTCAATTGGCCATTCAATGTCTATCACTTGCTATGCATGTGTATGATATGGTTGAATGATTTGGATACTTAGAAAATGATTGGAAAACATACTGTAAGGAATTGTAAGGGGTAATAAAGTTGATTTTAGAAATGACTCAAGCATCAAAAGAAAGTTGGGAACAGTTGGATGGGCAGGCATGGTTAGAAGCGTCCAGATAGCCAACATTCATGCAAAGAAAATATTTTTAATAACTAGTTAATGAATGAACGAATGAATAACTGAATGGGCGAATAATTAAATAGAATGAAAAGATAAACGGATGGATGAAAGTGAATGAATGAAATCATTTGCATATCAGATAGTGCAAAGAGCAGGTGAGTTCATGATAACATTCCCTTACGCCTACCATGCCGGCTTCAACATGGGGTACAACTGTGCTGAGTCGACCAACTTTGCATCGAGGAGGTGGATTGACTATGGGAAGAACTGTTTGCAGGTTGTTGTTCCACTGTCATTCTGTTGTTATTTTGTTGTTGTTTCATTGTTGTTGTTGTTGTTGTAGCTTTGTGTTGATGTGCTGCCAGTGACATTTGTAGCGGTGTGGGTGATTTGGGTGGTCGTGGTGCTAGTTAATGAGGGGAATTTGAGAATGTCCATGAGGAAGGTAGTTCACAAATTAGGAGTGGTTGGTGTCTTGTACTAATGCTGAGATGGTAATGGGGGTGGAAGGGTTTGGAGTTGTTTTGTTTGAACACGTGGATGATGATGATATTAATATTCGAATATGATGATTTTTGCTTTTTTTCGTTTTCATAATTCAACAATCGCTAAGCAATAAAAACAAATGAACACACCGCCATCATCATCAACACCACCACCATCATCATCGTCATCATCTCCGTAACAACCAGTGCACCTGCAATGACGACATGGTTAGAATAGACATGGATGAGTTCGTTAAGACCTACCAACCCGAGAGATACGAAGCCTGGAAGAGAGGGGAGGATAGGTGCCATCCAGAGGGGGGTGTTAAGAAAATCCCGTCAAGCAAAAGCGTTGTTGGCGGTAAGAGTGGTGCTAATAACATCGGTGATGATGGCAATGATGGCCAGGCAACCAATCAAATGAGCTGCACATTTGGGTGGGAATTTTTAAAATTTCAATTTAATAAAAGTTTACAATATTATGCTTCGGCTTGAGGCTGTTTTTATAGTTGTTAATATTTTTAAATGTCTTGAGTCGTTACGAAAATTTCGAAAACTTCATTTCGTATTCTCTTGCAGGAGAGTACTGTCCAATAACTCGGACCTTGCGTCGACATCTTCAGTGAGTAAGGTGAGTAGGCGGCACCCAGTCATCACGTCACTGACATCAATGACTGATGACATCAAGCACATCATGAAGAGGAAGTCTAAGTTCAATGATGAGGACGACGATAATTATTCTGATGATGAGGGCGATGAAGATGCAGATTACGAAGCACCGGTGTCTAAAAGGTCAAGAATGTCATCATCATCATCATCTTCGGATAGTAGTGATGACGATGGAAATAACAGGAGATGTACAAAAATATGCAGCAGTAGGCGGAAGGTTACAATGGAGTTTACTTGAGTTTCCATACAAATGAATGCTTATTTGTAACCATCCTTCGGTTCCTCATTGCACACTCGTTGATTTCCAACACATTTTTCATGATGACTCTTCTATAATAAGAATGAGATAATGTATCATTTTTAATTCAAATTCTTGACGGTAAAATATTTTCGTATACACTGTATAATATAGATAGATGCCTGCACAGGAACTCCTATCGCACACAATGGGCAAATAAGTTATAAATTAGATGAACTAATTGTAATTGTTTTTTATTATAAATTTCTGTTTACAAGTTCATTGTTGATATATGTTACTATGATGTAGTCATTCAATTTCTGAACAGAGAATGGAAGCGAAGGGTCAGCAACAAAATCTGCTCTCACCGTCGTCAGGTATGTATCTATCAATTTTTTGTGCTCCTTGTATTCTGTGGTGTGGAACTGTCGTGTGTTCTGCTGTGTTCTGCTTCGCTCTCAGCTGAAACTTGGGATGCTCGCTAAGGCACTCTCTATGGCTACTACTTCCTTATTAGCAAAACCACAGCGCTCATGCTTTAGGACATTGTTAAGATAGCATTTTGTCATATTTTTATGCATAAAAATTAAAAAAAAAAAATCTCAACGTTAATTTTTACCGGAACTTTTTCTTTGGGATTTTGCACCCCAGACAAACGTTACTTAAAATGTCAATATAATACAGAGTTAACGTTAATATTGCTAATGTTTGACATCTATTTCGATGGTATAGAAATTTAAATCATACTTATGCTGAGTCTGCAAGTGCTTCTTCGTACCGCCGTGACACAACATTTCTAATTGATAAAGTTTATTAACTATATTTTAGAAATATTTAAATTTGTTAAAATTGATTTATATAGAAAAACTAAATTCCAAGTAGCGGAAATGTGCATTCAAATAGCAAGTTCCATTGAGGGTTGATGCTGTTGTTGATGATTGACAGCAATGCACACACATTTTCATGAACGCACGCACACACTAACACCCACTAACCAGTCATGAAGCTGCAGGACAAAGTGACTCGACACATGCCCGAGTTGAGCAAGGTGGCCTGCCTATTCAACAGGACGACGTTCAACATTTCCACAGAGATGAACTTCCATGAGAAGTCCTCTGTCAGATATCCTCACTGCTTCATTTGTTCTGCATTCTTTAACGTGGGAAATTTATGTTCTCCTCTATGTGTGTGTGTGTGTGTGTGTGTGTGTGTGTGTGTGTGTGTGTGTGTGTGTGTGTGTGTGTGTGTGTGTGAGAGAGAGAGAGAGAGGGAGTGTTTGTAATGTTTTGTATTTGTGTGAGTTCGTTTTTCTTGTTCTTTTGAATTGTAATGATAGTAAGGATATTGTCACTTAATGTTCCCAGATTGCAAGTGATCGTTTGTTATTGTATTGCGTAATCAGTAATTACTAATGGATCCTATCTAGGATGGCCAGAAGGTGGAGTCACTGCCCAGGTCCTGTGCCACCCACCTGCCAACATCATTCTTCAAATCGTCGTCGAACCACGATGGTGAGGATAACGATGATGAGGGAGATGGAGATGATGAGGGAGATGACAGGATGAGGTGTTTGCCCGATGACCAACTGTTGAAGTGCAGTGCCTGCAGTCTTGTTGTCCATGCATGTGAGTTGGCTATGGTTTAGAGTTCGCTTCATGTCATATCATTTCATCGCTATCATCGTTGCTGAAGAAATCGTTGATTCCAATCGTGTTTTTACGGTTTCAATGTCAGCCGGCGAGTTAGTTCAGGCAGAATATTCTACTGCATACACAGTGGTTGTGTGCACTGCGCAAGCAAAGTTTCATAAACCGTTGCAGAAAATAAGAAAGACACCCTGAATGAAACAATTGTTTTGGAGATAATTAACTGGAAAGCAGCCACTCATTCTTGCTGACGTGCACAGACGCACTTTGCATATGAATTGGAGATTGGTATTATTGCATTAGTATCATTTGTCATTGTTTGGTTTAACTTATTATGCAAGCCCAATCTGACCTGCATATCATTTAATGCTGCTGCAGCCTGCTACGGAGCAACGTACAACAGTGTCAACAACTGGATCTGTGATCGATGCTGTGCTGCCAACTTCAAACAGGTGGTTCATATCTGTCTGTCTGTATGTATGTCTGTATGTTTGTCTGCTTGTTGTTGGTGACGTATGTTTGAATGGTTTGTGTTGTGTTCCATTTTTTTAATTAATTAATATTTTTTGTTAGAATCAGTAAATTTTTTATTATTTGCCTCTGTTAAATTAAATTATCTGGTTGGTCTGCTGCTGTGTTGTATGAGGTGACAATTCATTACTGATGCCTGTGAAAACTAAATGGTGGCCTCCCTCGTAATTGCATGCAGTCGAATTGTTCCATGTGCACGATGCGGGGGGGAGCACTGAAGCAGACGAGTGACGGCGGCTGGCTGCACGTCCTCTGCCTCCTTCTCCAGTCCCATTCCATGACATTCAGTGGGGACAAGAAACAGTGGGTCGAGTTCAAGGACGCAGGTCAAAGTCTGCAGGTCAGTCAGACTCGTGCTGCTGTTTTGTTTGCGCTGTTGTTGTTGATGGTGTTTGTTTGCTGTTAACATGTGGTGTGCAATGGTTATTTAAGCTTGGAACATTCAACTTCTAACTGCCAGCATCAGCAGCGATCGTGTGACATCTGCTCATCAGTGGTCAAAAGTAACAAGACCGAAAGATTAGTTGAATGTTCCCGCGCAAGTTGCAACCGGATGTTCCATGCGTCTTGCGCACATCAGTCAAAATTCAAATTCTATGTAAAGATGCGGGACAACAGGCTAAAGATACTATGTAGATGCTCTAGTCATCAGAGCAAGGTACCAATTGACATCGAACCAATCTGCATCACATCAATCCACGTCACATGAATCCACGTCACATCAATTCACATTACATCAGTTTGCGTTACATCAATTCGCATTACATCAATTCACATTACATCAATCCACATAGCAATAAAATTAATCCACTTCACGTCAATTTACATTACTTCATCCAATGTTTCATTATGGTTATTAATCTGCGTTTAAATTCATTTTTTCCTTTTATAAATCTGCTTACAGTTGATTGGTTGTTCAGTTACTGAACGACCAATCAACTGTAAGCAGATACTTAAAAAGTATCTATGAAATGTGGATGGATATTATTATTTGTATGCACGTCACGTCACGTCATGCCATGTCATGTTTGATTGCTTCACAGGCTGCCAGCAAACCAACCAACAACGACGACGACACAACTGGCAGTGGTAGGAGCTCCTCCAAATCAGGCAGCACAACGTCATCGGTGACGTCACCAACATTACACTCATCATCAACATCATCACATTCAAAAACATCAACATCACGTCCACCATCACTGTCGCATCAAGCAGCATCATCACATCTGCTAACAACAGCAACAACAACAACAGCAACGTCACATTCAACAAGAACAACAAAACTATTCAAAGCATTGGATCGAGTGGTCGTAAAGCATACAAATCACAGGCATCTGATTTTCTATCTTATTTACTTCTGATTTAGTTCCAATTTTTTTCTCAACCAACCAATCAATCAATAAATCAATCAGTTTTTTACAAACAATCAACCAACCAATCGACCGACCAACCAACTAATCAATCAGTCATTTGCAATCAGTCGACCAACTAACCGACCAACCAACTAATCAATCAGTCATTTACAATCAACCAACCAGCCAACCAACTATTGAATGATCGCACCAAGCAGATACTACAGAGGCATCATCAGAGGTATCCACAAGCAGATGTTTTGCAGGCTGCAGTTTGAAGATGGGTCCCATAGTAGCGACACATTTCCTGATGACATCAAGGTACTTTGGTTCTCTTGCGTTTTTCATTTATTCATTCTTTCTTCCATTTATGCATTTGTTTATTCTTTCATGCATTCATTCATTCGTTCATTCATTTATTATCTTTACAATTGCAATGACCCTGATGGTGGTTGTTATGATTTTCCGACTTACTGAGCTGACAACCTGAAAGTTGGTTCAGTCATTCATCATCCTCGTGTGCTGATGACCATTTCGTTGCTTACAATTCACATTACGGAATAAGTAGGATGGTGCTGTGATAGTTGATACCTGTAGATTCCAGCCTTATGTTAAGACATGGTTCTTGCTTCATTTTTGATTGAATCAATACTTGTATATGCACACCTCACTCCTGTCACTCCTGCCTTCCTTTACATATTCACCGTATACTCTCCACACTGCACACACTCCACTCCACATTGCACACACTTAACACACTCCACACACTGCACAGTCCCACAAGATAGATGTCAACCATCCACCACCGATCAACACTTCTGTTGATGTTCTGTGGTCAGACAAGCAGCTGTACAAGGCTCTCTTCATGGGAATCAATCCAGTGGACATGATGAGGGTTGGTTGGTTGGTTGGCTAGTTGGTTGGTTGGTTGGTTTAGTTGAATGGTTGGTTGGATGAATGAATGAATGAATGAATGAATAAATGAATGAATGAATAAATGAATGAATGAATGAATGAATGAATGAATGAATGACGAAAGGGAAGGTCAGTTGGTCGATT